GTAGTCCACACCCAGCTAGATGCTGCTTCCCAGAGGTGCCCTGCCCAGGAGGGTGAGGGACTGGCAAGATTCCCAGCTGCCTTCCCATGAGGGTGCCCTATTTTTAGCCCAGGGAGGGAGCTGGAAAGTGATACACAGCCTTGCGGGCTCTGCTACTGGTGGGCAGCAGGCCCAGGTTCCAGCTGGGTCCTGGCTGTGTGATTTTAGGTTAGTTCAGACACCTCTCTGGTCTCTGTTTTACAACCTGGAAATTAGGCACAGCAACTCCCATCTTATAAGGTTTCTTGGCCAGACCATCCTGTGGGGCCCCTGTGTGTTTTGGACAGCCCCTGGGGGGAAAAGCACAAAAAACAGGCTGGTTCCTACCCAGCCCTCAGCCCACCACTCAACCTTTCTCCACCCTGAGAGGGCCGTTGGCTCAAAAATTCACCTAGATCTCAAACTGCCTCCCTCCCCACATTATTCCTGCTCAAATCGATCCCCACATCCGAGCCTTTGCACTGGCCATGCCCCCACCTGAGGTGCCCTTCCCACATCACCTCATGACCCCTGCCTTCTCCTGCCTCAACTGGACCTCAGCTCCCTGGAGGATTCTTTGTTGACCCACCAGCGTCGGGTGGGCCCCATGACCCCATTGTCACATCGTTCTGTTTTATCCTCATCCAGGCACTATTTCAAGAGAGCTGTATTTTTTTTTTTAATTGATTTGAGAGAGAGAGGAAGGGAGAGAGAGAGGGAGAGGGAGAGAAAAACATCAGTCGGCTGCCTCCTGCACACCCCCTACTGGGGATTGAGCCTGGAAACCTGGGCATGTGGCCTGACCAGAATGGAACCAGCAAATCTCTGTGCAAGGAAGGAGGCTTAGCCAACTGAGCCACACCAGCCAGAACAGAACAGTTGTATTTATTGAACCTACTCAGCCTTGTCCACAACTGTGTCTCCAGCCCTGAAGCTGAGTCTGGCACGTAGTAGGTACTCAATAAATGTTGGTTGACTAAATGAATTCGTGTTCCCTCTCTTCCTCTCACATCATACACCATTTTTGGTGTCTGTCTACACAGAGGTGGAGGGCAAATTGAACTATTCACCATATACGTCTCAATTTTTTTTAAGAAGCCTGGAGTGGGGGTATGGGGCACAGCCAGAAACCCCCACCCCTGACCTGCTATCATTCACACCTGGCCTCAGGTTACCTTGTCCTTGTGAGCCAAGTTCCACGAACATGAAAATATAATCTTTTTAAAATAAGAAGGAAAATCACCCTAGTCAGTTTGCTCAGTGGTTAGATCGTTGGCCAGTGGACTGGAGGGTCGCCGGTTTGATTCCAGTCAAGGGCATTTAACTTGTAACTCGGTTTTGTTTTGGACTGTATCCCCAGCACAGTTGGGACGCCTGCGGGAAGCAACCAATCAATGTGTCTCTCTCACATTGATGTTCCTCTCTCTCTCTCTCTCTCTCTCTCTCTCTCTCTCTCTCCCTGCCTCCCTCCCTTCCACTCTTTCTGAAACCAATGGAAAAAATATCCTCAGCTGAGGATTAAACAAACAAACAACAACAATAAAAAGAAAACTGAATAACATCAGAATGCACTCCTGCCCCACCCCAGGCAGGTGCATGAGTCTCCCTGTGGCTCCATTTGCCCCTCTGTTGCAATCAGGAGTACATAATGAATTTTGCCTAAATTATATTTGCCTTTATAGCAACACAGTTGTAAAATGTAATTTTTAAAATACAGTGTTTTTTCATGGAAGAGGCCCACGAGACAAAAGTTCCTAAGACCCTGGAAATGAATTGTGTGGCTCTGCTTAACCTATTTTGCAGCGGGGAAACTTTCAGCCAGGGTCCAGTTTGGGATACCTATGAGCTCTGTGTAGTCCACCCAGGGAAGCTAGGACTTTCCGTGGGGTGCGCGCGCCACCTGCCGGGAACCTGCGGAGCTGCAGTCTCGGGGCAGGACTAGCGCCGTCACCCGCGGCTCCCGTCTGGGGCCGCTAGGTGGCGCTGCATCGCCTGAAAACCAGTTTGCTGGGTCCGATGGGGAAACAGGCCCGCTGAATGTTTTTCTCATGTGTAACATAGCGCCTTGTGGATGCTCCATGGTGGAGTTGCTAGGTAAAATGCAGTACTGAGCCTAGCTGGTTTGGCTCAGTGGATAGAGCATCAGCCTGCGAACTGAAAGGTCCCAGGTTCGATTCGATTCTGGTCAAGGGCACATGCCCAGGTTGTGGGCTCAATCCCCAGTAAGGGGCGTGCAGGAGGCAGCTCTTTTTTTAAATATATTTTATTGAGTTTTTACAGAGAGGAAGGGAGAGAGATAGAGAGTTAGAGTTAGAAACATCGATCAGCCGCCTCGTACGGGGGATGTGCCCCCAACCCAGGTACATGCCCTTGACGGGAATCGAACCTGGGACCTTTCAGTCCGCAGGCCGACACTCTATCCACTGAGCCATACCGGTTTCGGCTGGGAGGCAGCTCTTTCATTGATATTTCTATCTCTCTTTCCCTCTCCCTTCCTGAGATCAATAAAATATACTTTAAAATAAATAAAATACAGCACTGGTTTTAAATTTGAATATCATATAAACGAGGAATAATTTTAGGTATATCCCAAATATTGCACGGGATATACTTATGCTAAAAATTTTTTTTCATTGTTTATCTGAACTTGAAATTAACCCCTCTTCCTACCCACCCAGACCCCTGGGGCTACCGTGGCCCTGGGCTCATCCTACCCCTCCCAGATGGTCTGTCCTGTCATATGACCGGTCCTGGCAGCCCAAAAGATAAGAAGACTAGTCACAATAATTAAATAATACATTGAAAGCCATCGCCACATACCTTGGATCATATTTCTCCCTGCTGAGACGCTTCCCATGACTCCCATAAACCTGGGGAACAACCCAACTCACCCCTGCTGTTTGCAAGGTTCCCCCCACTTCTCCCTCCTCTATCTCCCTTCCTCAGGGACTGAGGTCTCTGGTCTTGAATGTTGGGGTAGGGTCTTATGCAGCCCATCTCCTAAAGCACATAGCATTGCCATCTTCTCGGGGGCATTCCCCCAAGTTGCCCCCATTTTGCAGGCCCAGGGGAGCTGCCCCCTCTCCAGGGCCCAAGTCCTGCTCACCCCTTGCAGGATCCCAGCCTCTAGTCCCAGGGCTGCCTGCAGTCTAATGGCAGCAGGTAGCAGGGAGGCCTCCACCTTTAGGCTATTAAACACCCAGCCCCAGCTGTTACCCACCCCCCACCCCCCACACACACCTGAGGGAGGGGCCCAGAAGTCTGCCTGGGGAGGAGGAGTTTAAAGACCCAGGTTAGCTGGAGAAGGAAGCCATCCATAAAGGGCCAGGCCCCAGCTCAGTCTCCAAAGTGCAGGGGAGCCCCCTCCACACCCAGAAAGAATCAAACAGATCAGCATGCACGCCTGCCCCACCCCAGGCAGGTGCATGAGCCTCTCTGTGCCTCCATTGCCTCCTCTGTACAATGGGTCAATATTCATTCATTCCTTGCACAGTAATTTTGAGGACTATATTTCCCTCTGTTATAAGGTCCCTTCCAGCCCCACCTCCCTGTAGGGATTTCTCAAATCCACCAGACATATCCTGTATCGGGGCCTTTGCACTGGCTGTGCCCTCCATCTGGTGTGCCCTTCCCCCACCTCTGAGTTCAGTGCACATTCCTTGGCCTCACCTCTTCCAGGAAGCTTTCCTGGACTTGTTCTAGTTACTTACAATGGGCACACATTTTTCCTTCATAACCCTTCCCACTACTACCACACTGCATCTCTCTAGGAAGGTTGCCACTTACCCTGTTGCCCGCAAGACGGGGGGACCTACTAGTGGAAGCAGGGGCTGTTCGCTGCTACTGTGCGGCCCCCGTCCCTACCACAGAGCCTGGCCCACAGAAGGGGCTCCAAAAACAGCGTCCACCTGAATGGATGTGAAGATAAGCTAAGGGCACACCCTGCATCTGCAGTTTTAAAATGATTCCTCTTTCTGAATGTCCCTTTCCATCCATTCACTTCATTTAAAAACCTTTTTTTAAATACTGGGTGTACCGGTTAATAATGCGGATTTTTTTTCAATAGCTGGAGTTACACATATGTTGATACATATGCGATTTGATATGTATGCTATTTTGTTGTATTGCTCCTTCAGATGACCACTTGTTCTGATCGATGGCACAAGCACTTTCTGAGCAGCACTTCGAAACATACGAAGAAGTGGAAAATTGGGTCTCTGAATGGTCTGCCTCAAAACAAGAAAAGTTCTATTGGGACGGTATCCACAAATTACCTGAGATGGGGGAAATGTGTAGCTAGCGATGGACATTACTTTGCATTTTAAAATGGCAGAACAGGCTGTTATTATTGCTACCTGGAGGCTGGGAAACCTCCCTGGGGCACAGGCCATGGGGCTGCTGTGCAAGGGGCAGGATTGATCGCTGTGTAACAAACTGGCCCAGACAGAGGGTCTCAGAACTGGGGATAACTTTTTTAGTTATTGGTTTTATTTTTTTTAATGTTTTTTTAATTGATTTCAGAGAGAGGAAGGGAGAGGGAGAGAGAGGAATATCAATGAGACAGAAATATTATCCATAGGCTGCCTCCTGCAGGACCCCTACTGGGGATTGGTGGGCTTTATTGATTGATTTGGGGAGGGGGGATGGACATCAGTTTGTTGTTTCACGTATTTATGCATCTGTTGGTTGATTCTTTTTTTAATATATATTTTATTGATTTTTACAGAGAGGAAGGGAGAGGCATAGAGAGTTAGAAACATGGATGAGAAACATCAATGAGCCACCTCCTGCACACCCCCTACTGGGGATGTGCCCGCAACCAAGGAACATGCCCTTGACTGGAATCCAACCTGGGACCCTTCAGTCCGCAGGCCGATGCTCCATCCACTGAGCCAAACCAGTCAGGGCTGTTGGTTGATTCTTCTATGTGCCCTCACCCGGGATTGAAATCCCAGTCTGGACGTATTAGGGTGACCGCTGTAACCAACTCAGCTACTTGGGCAGGGTGTGTTTGAACTTTAATATCGCTGACAATGGGATGAATCTTGCGATTGTACAGTTAACCGAGTGAAAACGTCTATTGGGGCTTCCTGGAAAGTTCCAGTCGGTGCCAGCATCAAAGTATCTTCAGTGTCAGGACATGCAGAAATAATAATCACAACAACAGCAACAACTGCAAACATCACAGCCAATTTGTAACACACGTTACAAGAGGACAAGACATTTTCACTAAGATTATCTTGGACAAAAATGAAGATATTAATAACAGAATAACGGCAACTGCTGTTCAAGCAACACCTGTTCCAGAGGGGGGCCCACCTCGATTCCACCAGAGTCGGCTCAGAGAGGGGCAGCATGTTCCCTCAGGACGCACAGCTGGCACCGCCCTGGCCGGCTGCTTCCCGGCTTCGACCTCCTGGGGTCGCGAAGGGCGGCCGGGCGGTGCAGCTCCGCGTGGGCGGGGGGCGGAGAGACCCGAGGGTCCAGACCGCGGGGGACGTCGGGGGCGCCTGGAAGCGCCGGAGCAGACGCGGCGCAAGGCCTGCCGGAAGTGCGAGCCCAGGAAGGCGTAGAGCAGCGGGTTCAGTGCGGAGTTGCTGTAGGACATGCAGTGCGCCCAGATCTTCAGCGCGTAGGCCGCGTAGCTGCGAGGGTGCCAGGAGCCCGACGGGCCCAGTGCCTGCAGCACCAGGAACACCTGGATGGGGCCCCAGCAGGTAGCGAAGAGCAGGACCACGGCCGCCACCAGCCTTGACACCTTGGCCCGCACAGCGTCCGCTCGCTCCGCCAGCATCTGCCCCTGGGGGTGCAGGGGGTGGGAGGAGGAGAGGCTGTGGGACCTTCCCTTAGAGCTGCCCTCCTGGGCCCCTCAGATTCCCTCACGGGGTCACCCCCTCAGATTCCTGAGATGTGCCTCCCCACCCCCCACTGTGCCCATCCCAGCCTGGCTACTCCTCCCACCCACCCAGCGGCGCACCTGCCGGGTGCTGTCTGCGGGCGCCGGGCTCACACCGGCCCGGCCCAGGTGGCGAAGCATGGCCCCATAGCAGGCACAGGTGGCGACCAGCGGCAGCAGGTAGAGCGCCAACAAGTTGTAGAGCGCAAAGGCGCGCTCCAGGGCGCGGCTGGGGAAGGCCTCGCTGCAGTAGGTGCGCGGCCCGGGCGAGAGGCGGTGCAGGGCGAGCACCGGCGCCGACACGGCAGCGGAGCCTGCACCACAGGCGCAGCTGCAGACCTTGCCGGGGGACGAGGGCCAGGAGGGGGCCCGGGCCCTGGCCTCCCAGGAGCCTCCCCAGTCTGCGCGCTCAGCGCTTCTTCGCAGGGAGCGCTATGGCGCGCATTTCCCGACGCCCAGAGAGAGATGGCGAGAAGGAAGGCGCCCAGGGCACGGGGACTTGTCCCCCCACCCCGTGTGCTCCCGCGCTGCACTCACCCACCCAGATGCCCAAGCTGACTGACAGCGCCAGGCGGGGCGTGCGGCGGTGCAGGGCGCGCAGCGGGAACACCGTCACGTACCAGCGGTCCACACTCATGGCGGTCAGAGTGGCACACGTAGCCTGTACGGAGACCTGGGAGGGCCGGGAGCTGGGCGTGGGCCGCCCCCATCCCACTCCCCGCCTGGTCTGGGGCCTGCCTTGTCTGTGTTCACATTGCGGGCCCCCTCCCCCCACACAAATGTCAAAACAGGGCGTGTCCTGGGAGGGTCTTTGGGGACACAAATTGAAGGGTCAGGAGAGGGGCGATACCAGAGAGGACCCCAGAATAGTGAGGGCTTGAGGGCGCCATTGGGGGCCTTCTGAGACCCAGAGGCTGAGGCAGGGAGAGGCAGAGCCATCCTAGGGACAGGTGGGACAAGAACCGGGATCCCCCTCCAGTGCTCATCTCCAACACCCAGTGCCTCTCTGTGGCCTCTCCTACCCATTGCTGGGGTCCTCCGCCCCCACCACTGGGTCCAGGCTACACCTCCTCCCAGCCTATCCACCAGCTGATTCACCCCCAACCCACTTCCCCCTGTGCCCCATTCTCCCTATTGCACCCACCTGCCCACACCCAGACCTGCCCCTGGCTCCCCAGCCCACAGCCCACCTGCTGAATGTAGTTGACAAACTTGCACATGAAGTCACCCAGCACCCAGGCAGGCAGTGGGTAGAGTAGGGCGGTGAAGGGCACACAGCACAGCAAGAAGGTCATGTCTGTGGCTGCCAGGTTGGCTGCAGGCGGGAGATGTTCGGGCTCTGGACATGGGGCTCCGGGCCTCCGCCGCCCAGCGCTTCTGGCCCAGCTCCCTAGCACTCACCTTTGTCTGAGTGACCAGCAGGGCAGCTCCAGAAGGCCCCCTACATCCTTCAGTCTCCCCCTTTTATATTTCAAACATCCCCACACCGGCTTCACAGCTATTCAAGCTTCAGTGGGCCCCGCTCACCCCTGTCTGGGCTGGGAGAGCCTGAGCAGGCCCCTGTCCCTCTGAGCCTCAGTTTCCTCCTCGGCAAATCGGAGACAGTGGTGCTGGCCCAACACCCACCATAGAACGGAGAACGCGAACTGAGCACTCGCCTGTATGGTAGGCCATCCCAGGACACCAGGGTGCAAACTGAGCCACTGTGGCAGAAATGGCAAACTGGGGGCCCAAGGACCAAGCAGTCCCTCCCCTCCACTGCTCTTATTCATCGAATACTGTGTCAGAGACCACATTTCAGCCGGACATCTTCCTCGAGGGGCAGGGGCGAGCTCTCCAACCTTTTAACTGCTGCGACTGCATGAACCCTCCAACGCCAGTTTGCGACCTCTAGCCTAAGGCACAGGGCCAACAGGGAAAAGAGCGGAGACCGGCGGGGGAGAGTCCTCTCTGGGAGGGCCCGGGGCACCGCTAGGGGGCGGCCCCGCCATTCCCTCGGGGCGACAGGGGGACTGGCAGACGCGCAGCGCAGCGCCGAGGTGCTCACCTATGTAGAAGTTGGTCACCGTGCGCATCTGCTTTTGGCGGCAGATGACGAAAATGACCAGCGAGTTCCCCGTCAGGCCGAGCAGCATTAGCGCGCCGAAGAAGAGCGGCACAAGCCAGGCGTCCACGGACCGCATCGCGGGGACCGGGCCGTCCGAGGCGTTGGCGCCACAGCCCGGACAGCCCGAGGCGTTGGCCAGCGCCCACCAGGACGCATTGGGCCCAGACTTGGCCCAGGCGCGCATGACTTTGCCGCCCTCTTTCTATCGATCGCTCTCCGGGAGACACCGGTTTGGAAGGTGGCTCCTCCGGACTCAGCGGCGCCTGTGCTCTTGCTGCAGCCGCCTCGCATTTATACCCCATTCCCGCCTTGTCCCCGCCTTCCTGCCTGTCCTGCAGGCGCTCTCCACTCCTTCCGCTGCCCCTGGCCCTCCGCTCTCCACTCCTTCCCCTGCCCCTGGCCCTCCGCGCGCACGCCCAGCAACCTTACCCCCATTCTCTCCTCCCCCTGAAGGGCAGGGGGAGAGCACTGGAAAAGAGGGACTGAGGGAAGGGTTGGGGCAGAGCGGGATGGGATGGAGTAGGCTGCTGTGCAGACTGGAGGGACCCACCCTGACCAGGGGGTATGGACTCACTACCCAGGTTCTGGCGGTTAGAAGATGCCTCTTCTTTAAAGAACACAATCTCCCTGGATTTGGGTTGCTGCAAATCAGACCCCTCCCAGCTCATGGGCAGCTATTGGCAGACGCCTGTACCACTGGTGGTAGGTGCCCGGTGGTGGACCCTGTTGTACCTGAAAACCCACACCTAGAAATGAATCCCATAGACTAGCCTAGGTACCAGGATGGTTGTCATTGTGGAGTACTTGGCAGCAGAGAACAAGATGCTACCATTTGTATAAAAAGACTAAAATAGGGAAGAAATGAATAGCTATGCACAGGCATCAAAGCACATCAACTCGGAGAAACCAAGATGGCGGCATAGGTAAACACAGGAAATTGCTGCCTCCCACAACAAATTCAAAAATACAACGAAAAGACAAAACGGACATCATCCAGAACCACAGGAAGGCTGGCTGAGTGGAAATTCTACAACTAGAAGGAAAGAGAAAAACACACTAAGACTCAGAGGAGGTGCGGAAGTACAGAGGTACGGAGGCGCACCTGGCAAGGGCTGGCAAATGAGGATGCGGCTATCTTTTTGAATTGGGAGGGAGTCACAAGCCCCTGACTGCTCTGAGCTCCAGTTCCGGGTAAGTCTCTGGGGACCTAGACTCATACGGGGAGAAACCGGACTGTCTGGCAGCAGGCAGAACTCGGAACTCCAGGGCGGCTTTCTCTCAAAGGTGCTTGCAGCGATTACCAACACAGGGAAGCATAAAAAATGAGGAGACAAAGAAACAGGTCACAAATGACAGAAATGGAGGAAAGCAAACGACTGGATATAGAGTTCAAAACCACACTTTTAGGGTTTTTCAAGAACTTTCTAGAAACTGCCGATAAATTTAGTAAGACACTCAAAAAGATTGGTGAGACCGCCGATAAATGTAGTGAGACCCTCAAGAAATCTAGTGAGACCCTTGAGGTTATGAAAAAGGACCAACTAAAAATTAAGCATACACTGACTAAAATAAAGGATATTATGCAGAGTTCCAACAGCAGAGTAGAGGATCGCAAGAATCAAGTCAAAGATTTGAAATACGAAGAAGCAAAAAACACCCAACCGGAAAAGCAAAATGAAAAAAGAATCCGAAAATACGAAGATAGTGTAAGGAACCTCTGGGACAGCTTCAAGCGTACCAACATCCGAATTATAGGGATGCCAGAAGAAGAGAGAGAGCAAGATATTGAAAACCTATTTGAAGAAATAGTGACAGAAAACTTCCGCTACCTGGTGAAAGAAATAGACTTACAAGTCCAGGAAGCGCAGAGAACCCCAAACAAAAGGAATCCAAAGAGGACCACACCAAGACACATCATAATTAAAATGCCAAGAGCAAAAGACAAAGAGAGAATCCTAAAAGCAGCAAGAGAAAGACAGTTACCTACAAGGGAGTACCCATACGACTGTCAGCTGATTTCTCAACAGAAACTTTGCAGGCCAGAAGGGAGTGGCAAGAAATATTCAAAGTGATGAATGCCAAGAACCTACAACCAAGATTACTTTATCCAGCAAAGCTATCATTCAGAATTGAAGGTCAGATAAAGAGCTTCACAGATAAGGAAAAGCTAAAGGAGTTCATCACCACCAAACCAGGATTATATGAAATGCTGAAAGGTATCCTTTAAGAAGAGGAAGAAGAAGAAAAAGGTAAAGATACAAATTATGAACAACAAATACACATCTATCGACAAGTGAATCTAAGAATCAAGTGAATAAATAATCTGATGAACAGAATAAACTGAGATTATAATAGAATCAGGGGCATAGAAAGGGAGTGGACTGACTATTCTTGCGGGGGAAAGAGGTGTGGGGGATGCGGGAAGAGACTGGACAAAAATCGTGCACTTATGGATGAGGACAGTGGGGGGCGGTGAGGGCGGAGGGTGGGTGGGAACCGGGTGGAGGGGAGCTATGGGGGGAATAAAGAGGAACAACTGTAATAATCTGAACAATAAAGATTTAATTTTTTTTTAAAAAAGCACATCAACTCTCTCCAGGGGGGAGTACAAAGAGCCAGGTGGAGAGGAACGTTTCCTTGTTTGCCCTTCTTATACCTTCAAAGTTATTCTGGAGAACTGAGAATAAAAACCAGGGAAGAGAAATCCATGTGGGATGGTAAGAGGAACAGGTTAGATGGAGATAGAGGAACTGTGTGGGGGCAGCTGCTGAGGTGAACGGGCCTGAGGGAGCACTCAGCAGGTGGCTGGGCCTTCCAGGTGGGGGCTCTGGGGAACAGCAGCAGCTCATGGACAGGCCAAGGGCCCAGGAGGTTGGAAGAAAGTGCAGTCCAGACTCTCTGGGAATGAGGCCCGGTCAGGTCAAGGCTCAGGCTGCTTATCCAGGACTGGCTCATGTATCGAGCAGCTACTCATCATGGGCCCAAACAGGAGAGCAAGCATTTGTAGCCCCAGAGCCTCCTCCCCACTCTTCCTTCTCTCCTGATGTATAGCACCATTAATTTCTTTTGCATCTTTGCACATTTATCTACATGAAGGCACATGGTATAAGCTCTTGGGGAGGGGGGGGGGGAGGGTGGTCTTTGAATTGTTCCTTCTCCTTTTTTGTCTCCTCCCTCCGTTGCTTTTTTTTTTTAAATTTCCCCACCACCATTTATCCCATCTATGCCCTCTTCCACCTCCACCCCACCCCCACACCTACAACCTCCCCCGTTGCTCCTTCTTTTAAGATAATCGGGTTATTTGTTCTGTACAATTTGCACCCCACTAGATCTGGCGGGTTGCATCCCGGTGGTGTAGGTTCCCCACTTTCCTTGTAGTCTGAAGGGTGGAGTCTGGATGTTCGAGCAGGTTTAATTCTGTGCTCTAAGTCCTCCCATGGCTCCCCAGTGCCTTTGGGACCAAAACCAGAGCTGTCATCACAGAGCCACTGGACTCAGGGGTCTGCCCCTCCCCTCTACCTCTATTCCCCTTGCCTCCCACTCATCTCCCTGCTCTGGCCACTCTGCATTGGCTATTTGTTCCACCCAGAGGCTCCTCTTCCTCTCCCTGTGGGTGAGGGAGGGGTCTGTCTTGGTCACTGCTGGGTCCACAGAGCCCAGAGGCGGCCCCATGAAATAGGAGGCATCTGTCAAATGAATAAACCCCAAATGGCAAAAGTGGTGGGTGCTGACACCCTAATTTTTTTTTCAGGTTTTTTTTTTTTTAGTCCTCACCCAAAGATATAAGTGTGTTTTTAATTGATTTTTTTAAAGGCAGAAAGGGCGAGAGAAACATCCATTGGTTTGTCTGTGCCCACACTGAGGGTCACCCCCCCCCCCCCACAAATGTCCACTCAATGCACACAGGGCATGTCCTGGGAGGGTCTTCAGGACCCACAAATGAAAGGGTCAGGAGAGGGGTGATACCAGAGAGGACTTCAGAATGGTGAGGATTTTTAAAAATATATATTTTATTGATTTTTTACAGAGAGGAAGGGAGAGGGATAGAGAGTTAGAAACAACATGAAGAGAAACACCCATCAGCTGCCTCCTGCACACCCCCTACGGGGAATGTGCCTGCAACCCAGGTACATGCCCTTGGCCAGAAGCAAACCTGGGACCTTTCAGCCCACAGGCCAACGTGCTATCCACTGAGCCAAACCCCTCAGGGCCAGAATGGTGAGGATTTGAGGGCACCGTTAGGGGTCTTCTGAGACCCAGAGACTGAGGCAGGGAGAGGCAGAGCCATCCTAGGGACAGGTGGGACAAGAACCCGGATCCCCCTCCAGTGCTCATCTCCAACACCCAGTGCCTCTCTGTGGCCTCTCCTACCCATTGCTGGGGTCCTCCGCCCCCACCACTGGGTCCAGGCTACACCTCCTCCCAGCCTATGCACCAGCTGATTCACCCCCACCCTCAACCCACTTCCCACTGGGCCCCATTCTCCCCCCTGCACCCACCTGCCCCCAGGCTCCCCAGCCCCCTCTCCCAGCCCACAGCCCGCCTGCTGGATGTAGCTGACCTCGGGATTGCACCCGCCACCTGGGTGTGCGCCCTGACTCAGCCACCACCTGTTCGTGTCCGGGACGACGCTTAACCAACCGAGCCACACCGAGCAGGGCCCGACGTCCTCATTCCAGAGGTGAGTAAACTGCGGCATGCCGCCGGTGCTCGGGGGCTACACTGCCATTAACGACAGGGGGGAGCTGGGGGAGGAAAAGGCCGTGGGTGCCCGGGGAGGGGAGGGGAGCGAGTCGTTCCTCCGTCCCTCCCCGTTACCCAGGCGTCAGTTTCCCCTTCCCCGGGGCTGGCGCCCCGCCACGCCCGCAGCCTGGGTTTGTGGCCGCCGAACCATCACCCCCGCACCCCCTCATTTTTTCAGTTTCCCCCTCGGTCTCGCCGGGGCTGGGTGCCCCCTCCCACCGCAGCCCGGGGTTTGGCCGCCTTCCTGGCAGCGCCCCCGCCCCGCACGGCCAGCCCCCGAGATCCGCCCCGGCCCGCCCCCCGGGTGGCCGTCACTTCCTGCCCGGCCCGCGGAGGCCTGGCCGGTGGCGGCGGCGGCGGCGACCTCCGAGCCATGGTCGCCCTGGAGAACCCCGAGGGCGGCTCAGAGGAGGCGGCAGCGACAGCCGGGGTCGTCCCGGGCGGGCGGCGGACGCTGTGAGCGCGATGGGGCGGGCGGGGCGCGCCCTCCCGGGGCTCCGGGGCTCCCTTCCCTCCACCTCCCCGCCAGCCCAGCCCCAGCCCTCCCGCCCCCTTTCCTCGGTGACACCTCCAGACGCCGGTGGGAGCGGGGGGCTTATTGTTTCCGCGTGTTTCCCTGGGAAAACCCCATTTCCGACCCGCGGGGTATTGCTGGGGCGGAGGGCGCACCCCGGCGGGGGGTGTGAGGACCCCGGGGTCCTGGAGTCCCAGGTGCCGACCCGCCTGGGGTCCCGGGAGCATCTGTGAGCGCTCGGCTTGGGCGGCTGTGTGGTGTCCGCAGGCTTTTGTCTGCGCGCGGGGTTTCTGTCCCCAGACCGGGCGCTCACCCCACAGCCAGGGCTGGCTCCCCACCTGGATTATCAGCGCCTTCCTGGGGGCACGGGGTATATGGGTTTATCTCCGGCTACAAACCCAGCTTAACCGGGGGTGGAGGGGCTTAAAACCCGGTCCACCGGAGCCCGCCTGTCCTCGGAGGGAGCCTGGAAGCCGGTGGAGCGCACCCATATGGGTGTAGACACCCCTCCCCCATGTGAGTGTGGATCCGGTGGGTCCCAGATTTCCTTTGAACCCTGGAGTTTAGGCAGAAACACCAGGGTTCAAAGGGTGTGGTCCACCGGTCCCGTGCCTCAGTTTCCCCACTTGTAAAATGAGATAACAACAGTGGCCTCAGAGTGGCTGGGGGTCAGTGACCCTGTGCCCCCTGAGGTGCCCAGCACAGGAGTGTCCATTCTTTCATTATCTTAAACATCTTATTATTGTAATTTTATTATTATTTTTAAAGGATTTTATTGTCTTATTATATTTGTTATTACTTTATTGTTATTTATTATTAGCTTGTGTTATCTAATCTGGGCATTTACCTGAGGCCTTACTGATCTCTACATATATCGGTATTTACCGGGATGAGAGATAATACTTCTTTTAAGAGGCCTTAGCCTGGGTATTTACCTGCCAGGTGTGTTACTCTGACCTGCACGGAGTGCCCCTCACCTCTGTGTTTTGGGGGGTGAGGCCACTGCTGGGTGGCCCCACCCAGCCTGAGTCATCTCTACCCTGAGCCCTCTTGGTTTCCTGCTAGGGAAGTAGGTTCCTCTCTTGCCCATCCCTGAGGGGGGTGGACAGGTCAGAGGAGTTGATTTTGGCCCAGGGCAACAGTGTCAAAATTCCCCATTTCAGGGAGCAGAACTGGGGGCAATAGGATCTGGTCCTCCCAAACCCAACCTGACTTAGCAGCTGTTCACCATTGGGCCTGCCCACTGGGCACACATTTCCTGAGGACTGCTGGTCCAGGAAGCCTCGGGTGCCCGCTCTGGATCCTCAGTCTCCCCATCTGTAGAGTGGTCTTTTGGGTGGCACAGAGAGCAGATGAACAGCTATTGAGCACCCGCTGTGGGCCCGGTGTTGGGGACACAGCAGAGACCAAAACGACGACTTCGTCATGTGTCCTCTTTGCACAGGTCTAGCAAGGAAGGTGAGGATTAAGGAATAAACACACACATGGGCCGGCTGATCTTGGATGCCAACTGGTGAAGCATGCAAACAGGGCTGATTGGGCTAGTGGGGGCTGAGGCGGCTTCTGGGGAGGTGACATTTGAGCAGAGGCTAGAAAGAGCTGGGAAAGGGTGCTTCAGGCATAGGGCTCAGCACATGCAGAGATCCTGAGGTGGGTTGTTTCTGGCCAGTTTGAGGCACATGGAGGGAATCCATGTGGCTGGAGCAGAGGAAGCCCCCAGAGGAGAGATGGGGTTGGGCATTGATGTTTTGCCAGGTAGAGATAATTTTCTATAGAGTTTACACTGATAGTCAACACCCCTCCCCCCAGCCTTTATAACAAATAAGAATTACTGGGAAACTGTGCCCTTCCCCCTTTATGCCTTGTCCTCTCTGTGTCTTGAGTGGAGGGACCCAGGCACCCCGTAGCCACATGTTTCTTATCTCCTGCTGGAATCTGGTTGAAGTTAGCAAGCTTGAATGGATGGTGGACTCATTTGACAGTGCTCAGCTCAGCACTTGAGGCCCATAAGAGGGTAGTAAGCCCCCTGAATGACTGGGGACAAGGCAGACAGGGTCTCCAACACCAGGTCAAGGAAGAGCTGGGCCTTTCTCTGACAGTGCTAGGGAGCCACGGGTGGTGGTGGAACAGGGGAGGGGCCTGTTGGGTCTTAGCTAGGTGGGCTTTCGTCTGAGGAACCCACCACAGATCTCTGTGAACCCACAAGTGAAACAAGAGGCTTCCTTTTGTTGTATGTGGGGGTTCTGTTCAGACTCAGGTTCAAATCTTAGCTCTGCTCCTCCTCTGGGGGTGCCAGGAAACCCTTTTTCTCAGAGAGCCCATGCCATAAGGGCTGGAGCTCTCTCCCTGAGTCCTGCCCTGCTCTGATGTCTGATAGCTCCCCCCAGGATGTGGCTTCTGTTATCTGCCCAACCAGGCTACCATCCTGGACTCTGTCCAGCTCCTGGAGTGGAGACCGAGGCCCTAGAGCCCCAGGGAGGCCATGGGTGAATCTGGAGGTTGGGGTGGGCATGCTTGAGCCTCGGGAGTCAACTCTCAGGTCGGATCCTGTGCTGACTTGATATGTGAATGCTCACCCTCGGGATGTTGCTATGATCATTGGTGTGGCTGAGGGGGGGAGCTCCCCATCACAGGAGAAAACCAAGCAGATGGGGGTTGGGATGCCAGGGGAGGGTGCCTGTCCCAGCTTCTCTTGGCTTTGAATGTCCTCTCCCAGACTCACAGGCACCCACAGGTATTTTCTGGGACATCTGATGCAGCAGTGTGTGTGTGTGTGTGTTTGAGCACCTACTGTGTGCCAGGTTTAGCTGTGAGTGCCCTAGGAGAGGATATGATCTATTGGGAGAGGTGAGGAGTCATCAGTGGAGAGTAGAATGTATGGTGATCCAAAAACCAAAGCAAGAAGGTATTAAACAGAAGAGGTTGCAGTCTCACTGAGGAAGTTTCAACAGAAGCCAAAAGGAAGTGAGCCAGTGAGCCATTCGGAGTCTAGGGGACTGTGTACCAGGCAGAGGGCACAGCCAGCACAAAGGCCCAGAGGTGGGACTGTGCCTGGCTTTTTGGAGGAGCAACAGGAGATGACAGGAGTGAATGAGGGAAGGTACATGGGGAGGGGGATCCTGGCACCCCAGACATTCAAGGGCCAGAGTCCACTATTGCCCCGCACCGTGAGGGTTTCTGAGCCCAGCAGGGACCAACCATCCTGTGGTTTGGTGTTGTCAGGGACTGACCAGAAAGCCCCCAAACCTTCTTGCCTTGAGGTTTCTATCCGAGAGCCCCCTGCTGCTCCTATGCACCTGGCCTTCTGGTCCCCAGCAGGAGGCTTGGTGGCCCTCCTAATCCATCTCCATAGTTAATGCCATTTGCTCTGAGGAGGGCAGATTAGCTGGAGGGGGGCACCCCAGCCCCCTCCCTGGTCCTGGTCCCTGGGCACATTGGGGAAGCTGGGCTCAGGCGAATCACGTCTTTGAGAAACTCCCAGAGGATGGTGGTGCTCAAATCCGTATACTCTGGGCCTCATCAGCCTGCAGCTAAAATCTGGAAACCTGGGGGAGAGGGGAGCAGCTTTTCTCAGCCACCCACCTGATGTGTGAATTCAGGCAAGGGTCTTCTCTGAGCTTCCGTTTACTAATCTGTCATCACAATTATGCCTGCATTTCGGGTGATGTGACGATGAAACAAAAATGTTACGGGTCCAGGGCTGCATACACGGCAGGGGGTGAGCTGCCGTTGCTGAGGGGGACCAAGCAGGTGAGGACTATGGTAGAGTGGCAGTGGTAGGGTTCTGCCTGGGCGTCCTGGCCTGTCTTGGCCCTGAGGACTGCTCCCCGCCCTAAACCCTGGCCCACAGGCACCTCTCGGGATGCCTGCCCGCCCTAGCTGGCTCCCAAGTGAAGAGGTTCTCGGCCTCCAAGCGGAAGCAGCACTTCATCAACCAGGCCGTGCGGAACTCAGACCTTGTGCCCAAGGCCAAAGGGCGGAAGAGCCTCCAGCGCCTAGAGAACAGTGAGCAGGGGTCAGGGGTCAGGGGTCAGGGGTCCCTCCTGGGGGTTCCGAGGTCTCCGATGAGAATGGTATGCATGTTGGAATTATCTGCTGCCCTTACCATGGGCCTGACCCTGAGCTGGGCAATCCTGGGACTGGGCCAGAGGGAACTTGAGGCATTGGAGCCGGGGCTTTAAAGGGTGTGTAGGAGTTCAACTAGGCAGGGAGAGGTAGGAGGACTTCTGGAGGCTGGATGGTTTCTGTACCTTCTGGGAGAGACAGTTGGAGTGTGGAGGTGGGGAGGCTGGTACAATCCAGAGAATAAAACCTATAAATAAAGAGAAGTTAGAGTGTCAGCCCAAGTACTGAAGGGTCTCGGGTTTGATTCCCGGTTAAGGGCACATACCTGGGTTGCAGGTTCAATTCCTGACCCCAGTCAGGGTGTGTGTGGGAAGCAACCAATAGATGTGTCTCTCTCACATCGACGTTTCTCTCTCTCTCTCCCCCTCCCTCCCTCCCATTCTCTAAAAATCAATGGAAAAAATATCCCCATGAGAATTAACAAAAAATATAAATAGAGAGAGAGGGAGGAAGCCTGGAGGGCCCCAAATGCCACACCCCAGCTCAGAGACCATCTGTTTCCGTCTAGCCCAGTACCTCCTGACCCTGCTGAAGACAGACGGGGACACACTTGGTCCGGAGGATGGGGACCTGGCACCCCCCGCAGCACCTGGCATCTTTGCGGAGGCCTGCAGCAATGAGACCTATGTAGAGGTGGGGCTCCCTGCGCTCTCGCTCACTCCCTCTGCTCCAGCCACACTGTTTCTGTTCTGGCTCCCACCCCCAGGCATTGCCTGTGCCAGTGCCTCCACCAGGAGTCCCCACCTACCTCTGGTCCCTTGATGGATGCCCCTTCAATCTGCCTCTGGGTTCCCCAGACCAGGCTGGAACCCCACACCCCACCCCAGAACCTCCCAGCACCCATGATTCATCTGCTCATCCATATAGCTACCCCTCCCCAGACAAGCAGGTCTTCAGGCGTCCCATGAACTAAACTCCTGGCGGGTCCTGTGGGCAGAGGTGTCCACAAGGAGTATTTCCATACACTTGGTGGCCCGCTGTGTGCATTGGCCAGATGGGGAAACTGTGCCCCGAGATGCACCGTCACTAGCCCAGCGCCTGCCTGCCTCTGTTCCAGGTCTGGAATGACTTCATGAACCGCTCTGGGGAGGAGCAGGAACGGGTCCTCCAATACCTGGAGGACGAGGGCAAGAGCAAGGCCCGGAGAAGGGGACCTAGCCGGGGGGTGGACCGGAGGAAAGGTGCGGCCTGCATGGGGGGTGGGGGGGCCCAGACTTGTGGATAGGGGCCTGGCCTAGTGTGTGGGGCGGGACTAGGACAGGTGGGGAGGAGCCCGGTGGGGTGGAGCAGGCAGTTTGCTTCAGCTGCTGCCCAAAGCCTTGGACTCTTGCAGAGGACCCAGCCTACACTCCCCGAGAGTGCTTCCAGCGCATCAGCCGGCGTCTGCGAGCCGTTCTCAAGAGGAGCCGCATCCCCATGGTGAGTATCAGGCTGGGCCCCCACCTGCCTGTCTTAACTTTTCAGTTGGGGGTGGCACGAGGGCACCAGTTACAGAGTGCACGTGCTGCAGTGGAAACAGGGTGGGATACACACCAGTGTGATCAGAATGCAGGGCCCAGGGCTGGTCAAGGGTGGGAGGGTCATGGGCAATGAAGGTGGGCACTGCAGGATGTGTAGGAGTTCACCAGGCAGAAGGTGCAGGCATTCAAAGATAGGAAGATTTCTAAGTGCCTGGAATTCTTGGCACTCGTTACGTAGCCTCATGTTGCCGATCAGAGGCCACATTTGAACCCAAGGCTTTGAGCACTGGAAACTGTCCTGGGCATGGGGGTGCCTGGCCAGCCTGGCCCAGATCTCAATGTCAGCCTGGCCCTGGGCCTATATCTCCTGCAGGAAACGCTGGAGACCTGGGAGGAGCGGCTGCTGAGGTTTTTCTCAGTATCTCCCCAAGCCGTGTACACGGCCATGCTGGACAACAGGTGACTGGTGGGGGCAGGTGCAGCAAGCTCCCTCCATGTGTGCCATGACTCCAGCCGTGGCCATTCACCGCCCATTCCTCCACAGCTTCGAGAGGCTCCTACTCCATGCTGTCTGCCAGTACATGGACCTCATCTCAGCCAGTAAGTGCCCGGCAGCTCTGGGACCCTCCCAGTGAGCCAGTTCTGCCCATTCTGCCCACAGAAACCGAGGCTACCCGGGATCTGTTTACTCAGTGGGAGGCCTCTGGGGGCGTGGGGGGAGATAGCCTGAACAAAGCAGTGGTGATGGAACTCTGCGTTAATTCATCAGAGCCCCTGTGGTCCCGGCCTCACACAGGGCGATACTGTGGACACAGACCCCACCTCCATCCACATCTTCAGAGCCAGAGGGAGAGAGGGGCCTATGTGAGGGTGATGAAGCTGAGCTTCGAGGGGACCCCAGTGTCTGCAGGGTCCTCATTTAGCCATACTCCCCTCTGCTGTGCCACACATGACTTCTGGCAAGTGCCCCTTCTTGGGGCCTGTGTCCCCAGTTATAAAGGGGGTGCGGGTGGTCTTGGGACACAGCTCTCTAGGGATGGTGCTTGTAGGCCTTTGCTGTCTGTCTCGCTGTTTCCTGCCCAGAGTCGCTTAGGAGACAGTTCCCATGGCAACCCCAAGATGGTTCATCCACATGCTTGTCTTTGTTCTCATAGATCAGGATGGATGGGGGGGCTTGCCTGGGGGGTGCTTCTCTGCTGGAGTCCAGCTGTTGCCTGAACACAGCGGAGGAGGGGCCCTGGCAAGATGGGGAGCAGGAGAGAGGCAGAAGTCTCCAGGTGGGACTGAGCTTCAGAGTCACCCCTAGGGTAGGGATGGAAGCAGGCGAACTGGGAGGAGGCAGGACATTTGTTCCAGGCTGAGCGTACCCTTGGTCTCCGGCCTGTGTATCTCAGTGCATCAGTCTGAACATGGATAAGGAACAGAAAGGATGAAACGGTTGCAGATGGAAGTTCTCAGGGATTTGGAGCCGTTATTGTGAGCCTGTTACGGTCAGCCAGACCCCAAGTGCCGGCTGGCCCTGCCTCTTGCATTCTTTTCATTCTTGCCCCACTTGTCACCTCTTGCAGGTGCCAACCTGGAGGGCAAAAGACAGATGAAGGTCAGCAATCGACATCTGGACTTCCTGCCTCCTGGGCTGCTCCTGTCCGCTTACCTGGAGCAACGCAGCTGATGCCAGCCTGCCCGCCCCTCCCCCCCTTCCCTTCAAGATCCCCTATACCTCCACTAAAATGTTTGTTAATTTTAGAATTTGTCATGCTGCCCCCCTTGGGGTGGCACTCCCACCCTAGCCCCATCCCATCCCATCCCATCCCAGCTCTTCCAGGTAAATGCTGGCGCTGGAGCTGCTGTAGACTATACTGGGCCCGTAACTCCCTGCTCTGGTACTTGTATTTGGGTGGAGAGACCTTCAGTCAGCTTCCACAGCCCAGTCTGAAGCTTACGCAAGGAGGGAGAGGCTAGGTTTTTATCACTTTTAATGAATTCGGGATGATGTGTTGTAGATTTTTAAATTTTCCTTTTGGGAAGAAAAACCAAATACGCCAACTGATAAATTAGGGGCTTTGTTCTAGTCCCTGCTTGACTTCCCTCCCAGTTTTTGGCTAGAATTGGGGGGTCTCTGGGGTGCTGCCCCTCACTCCAGGAGCATTACGTGTTGTGTGTGCGTATGCGTGTTATTATGCATGCTGGTGTCCTGCTACCCAGGACAGCAGCTGTGTCTTAAAGGCTGGTTTTACCCTCTTTGGAATGTGTGTTTCCTCCCCGGGTGCTTTTTGGTGGCTCTTGGGGCCCTGCCTGCTCTACAACCCCTCCCCCCATCTTTTCTCCTCTCTTCATACTGGGAGTCTGGGACTTCCAGCCAGAAGCCTCCACCCTCCCACTGCCAACTTCCCCTCTCCATGTTCTCTCACCACTACCCCATCCCCCAGCCTGACCCTGGTCTATAGCTTTGAGGTGTTACCCTGACCTGGGCCACAGAAGCAGGCCTGGGGGACACCCCTCCACACACTGCCGTATGTGTGGCTAGTTGCGCTTTGGGAAAAGTGAAGAATTCAATAAATTTCTGGTGCTCTGGTCTCCAGATGTGGGATTTTCTTTTGGGGCAGGGCGGGAGGCACAATAGGTGCTCAGGATGTGCTTGGGTCCTGATCACTGAGGGCGGTGGGTCTGGGGGAAGAGCTGAGTTGCTCCTGGAGGGCGAGGCAGGTGGTGGGGAGGCTGCTGGGAGCATCCGGGCGTTGGCTCTGCCATCCTGGCCCTTCCCGGATGTCCAGGCTCTGCCACTTCCCAGTTGTATGACCTCCAAAAAGTCACTAGAGTGAGGTTGGCTGGGGTAGATGGCACGAAACACCACACCCCGCAATGAAATAACCCGCACGGAGGCTGAAAACAACAGGGGCTTGTTGTCTCCCAGTTCTGAAGGCCAGCAGTCCCAACTCAAAAGAGTCCCAAGACCTTGCTTCCTCTGGAGGCTCCGGGGAGGGTCCTTCCTACCTGTCCCAACTCCCAGTGGCTCTGGTGTCCCTTAGTTCCACCTCCCTGAAGGTGGAGACTCTACATTAACTATGGGGATTTCTGCCCAGGAGGTTTGTCTCTTCTCCCCCATGTATGGATTTATTCAATCATTTTATAGCAATGTGGAGGCATGGGTATTTACTTCTACTTTGGATTAGAATGCAGTACTACTTAACTTTGTTATAGAAATGATTTCAAGTTTGGCTCCCGTGTCTGTCTGTCTCTCTTTTTTTATTGATTTCAGAGAGGAAAGGAGAGGGAGAGAGAGAAACATCAGTGATGAGAGAGAATCATTGATCGGCTGCCTCCTCACTGGGGATCAAGCCTGCAACCTGGAAATTGAGCCCGAAACCCAGGCATGTGCCCTGACTGGGAACTGAACCATGACCTTCTGGTTTCATAGGTTGACACTCAACCACTGAACCACACTGGTGGGGCCCCTGTCTCTCTCTTTTTCCCACACTAACCCCCTGCAACCTTCCCCGCTCCCCTACCTCCCGCCTCAGGCCGTCACTACCCTATGGTCTGTGTCCATGGGTTATGCATATAAATTCTTTGGTTAATTACTTCCCACCCACTCCTGTGGGGTTTTTATTTCTTGAGCATGATTCTGACTTTCTGCCATTACATGATGCCCAGGCTGGGCTGGTGTGTTTCCCCAAGGAGTCCAGTTCCTTCTATCGGGGCACCGTGTTAGAAACCAGTGGACGCTGGGTGCACTGTATTCCATTTTAACATGCATTTAAATAGTTTTAGACACTAAATAACAGAAATCCAAATGGCCAGTACAGAGGACGGACAGAAAGAGATATTTGAGCAACAAGCTTGGAGGTCCCATCTGTAAAGGGGACCCATCCCTGCTGGAAGCCGGTCCGTCCTTGCTGCTTGACACAGTCGCTTCAGGGAAGAAATACCTGCACAGCATATGTTTCAAGGGACCTGGCGTATATGGCATACTGTTCTTAATATGTTTGCTCCCCTTCTTGGTGCTATGTGTTTTAACCAAGGCCACCTCTCCGAGAAAGGTTGTTTCCCCAGGTAGGGATTTTCCCCTGAAGTTAGGGAGGGAATAAAACCCCTTAACTAAATGCCAGGCGGGTAGTTAACTATGAACAATCACCCTTAAACTACATAATCTTTACACCCTGGAACGGAGATAAGAAACGCCCTAACCTTTGGAATAGAAATTGACAGGATTAAAATCAACTGGTATAAACTGGTATAAATACAGATGTAACAAGACAATAACCACCAGAACTTGACTAGAGATCCTGGCTAGGCTGCTGATCAACTGAAGGCTGTCTCCGTGTCATTCCTTCTTCGCCGACTCCGTCCACACCTTTGGGGACCCCTGGACCTGCTGGGGTTGGACCCCAACACATCCCCAGGTTCCCAGAGGACAGGATTGGGTCTCAGGGAGTGGGCTGTGTGGGGTTCTTCTTGCCCCTCTTCCCCAGCTCGGTTCCCAAGCTGCCTGGCCTCCAAGCCTTTGTCCAGGCCTTGCCTTCCGCCTGGTGCACCTTTCCCTGCAATCCCAGGAGGTAAGACCTCCCACACTGGCGCGGGTCTAGCAGGAATAGCAGCAGCTTTTTGGAGGAGGAAGTGGGAATGGGGTTTGAACCCAGAAGGATCCTCAACTGGATAAGTCACCTCACTTCCCCCACCGATGAACAATACAAAAGCAAAGCAAACACAGAATGGAACTAACCAGCTTTGGAAGGAGTTAGAGATGGGGCCTGAGGTTGGGAGGGCCCTCGACTGAGTAAGGCACTTTCTTATCCAGCCTCAGTTTCCCCACCCACGAGTATTAGAAAAGCAAAATAACGCTTCACGAGTCTGTGTAGCATTCTTGTGCAAGGGCCATGCTCATCTTTTCTGTAGCGTCCCAATTTTAGTGCAGTACTGCCGAAGCCAGCATTAGCGAGGGGCCGAACCTAGGGCTATTTACAGGGCATATAAATACTTTCCACTGAGGGCAACCCATCTGGATACGATATTAGTGCAGCACATAACGGGACCTCTCCCTGGAGTTGAAACAGTGCTCGTTATTCTCACAAAGCTCAGGTAGCTGCTGGGAGTCTATTGAGCCTCACAAACAAGCCCGGAAGTGGGCGGAGCCAGCGCCGCCGCCGTCCCAGAAGCCTCTGGGAGGCGGCCGCGCTGCGCGGGCGACTCGTTGGTCCCAGGGAAGATGGCGGCACCGGAGCCGGGGAGGTAGGACGAGCGCGGGCTGCGGCCGCGGCGCCCTGACTGGCCCGGTGAGCAAGAGGCACTGGGGTCCAGAGGGTCCGGCCGGCCTCCGGGCAACCCCCGGGAGCGCGTCCCGGAGGAGGCGGGGCCTCGCGGGCTGGGGCGGGGCCTGCGGGGTCAGAGGGCGGGTCGGAGAAGCAAAGGGTGCTGGGTATGCGGCCTGGGCGTGGCCTGGGGTTGTTGCAGAAGCGGGGTCCTCAGCCGGGCGCGGGCGGGGGAATCGCAGCGGGGCCTAGGGATTGTTTCTCTCCGGGGAGGGTCCTGGGCGAATTGGGGGCGGAGTTTAAAGGTTTTGGGTAGGGGGGGACCTAGCGGTTGCGTATGGTCCCTGGTTGGGCCTGGAGTTGTAGGGGAGAGTTGGCGGCGGAACCTGGAGGGCCCCGATGTGGGGACGGGGTCTGGAAAGCCAAGGGTGTTAGGGCGGGGCTGCAGGGCTCCGGGAGCGGACCTAAGGATTGTTGGGGAGTCCCTGCGGCGAAGCCTAGGAGTTCAGGCTGGGCCTGGAGGTTTTAGAGGAGATTGGGTGCGGGGTCTGGGGAGCCAGATTGAAGGGGAAGGGAAAGGGCTTTGGGGGCGGGGCCTAAGGATTCGGACGTGGGGGCTGTGATTGAAAAAAGCGTTTATCATACTAACTTCACTGGGCTTTTGTAATGGTGAAAGGACATAACCCGTAATCGAGGCCAGGCACATAGAGAGCACGGAGGAGAAGTTCACCGTTATTGTTATTCTTACAATCCATAAGTCCACGCCAAAAACAAACTGCTGACTTCCCCCAGCCTGTCTCCCCAACTCTGCCAGAGGTAGCCCCACCGGGCCCTTCCGTACGGACAGACCCAGGGTCTGACCTCCTCTCAGTTTCCACTGCTCACCTGGACCAGTGCAGTCAGCTCACCCCACCCCCAGCTGCATCCTCCAGACAGCAGAGGGGTCCTGCTGAAATACAAAGAAATCACTGCCTTCCTGGGACTTCTGTGCCACGCAGGGGGAAAGCCAGGACCCTGCTGTCGCCTCCCACCTTACTTCAATAACCGGGCCCCTTCTTTTTTTTTTTTTAAATATATTTTATTGATTTTCTACAGAGAGGAAGGGAGAGAGATAGAGAGTTAGAAACATCGATGAGAGAGAAACATCGATCAGCTGCCTCCTGCACATCCCCCACTGGGAATGTGCCCGCAACCCAGGTACATGCCCTTGACTGGAATCGAACCTGCGACCCTTCAGTCCGCAGGCCGACGCTCTATCCACTGAGCCAAACCGGCTTTGGCTACCGGGCCCCTTCTTAAACACCCCAGGCTCCATGCATCCTCTGTGCCTTTGCACTGGCTGTTCCCTCCACCTGCAGTACTCCTCCCTAGATACCTGCATGCCTCTGTGCGTTCCCTTGCACGTATGCTCACATGTCTTCTCCCCGGTGTGGCCTCCCTTGCTTGCCCTCTGTTTAAAATGCAGCCTTCCCCCCTGACACACACATGTAAGACCCAAGGGCAGGGACTGGGTCCTTTTCATTTCTCATGGTGACCCAGCATCCAGCATGGCATTCAGCACCCTGCAGGCACTTGGCAAAGGCAAACCAGTCCTCCCTGTCACTTCCTCCTTCAGGTGGTCATTCTCTTCCTCAGGTGACTGTTCTCAGTGTGTGACCTGTGGCAGGTGGCACAATGGATCTGGCTTATGTCTGCGAGTGGGAGAAGTGGCCCAAGAGCACCCACTGTCCGTCAGTGCCCCTGGCCTGTGCCTGGTCCTGCCGCAACCTCATCGCTTTCACCACGGACCTCCGGAATGATGACCAGGGTACACCCCTTCACCTCTAGCCCAGCTCCCATTTCCTCTTCTCCCCTCCCCACACATTATATACCCCTGGCTCCCATGGTGCCTGGCATGGGTGACAACATGTCTCTAGCCTGCCTGGTAGCCACCTCCAACCTATCCAGGCCCTTTCAGTCCTTCCTCATTCACAATTGGGGGGTGGTGAGGGCCCCAGCCTTTTAGGGGTGCAAAGGGCACATGCATTTAACTGATGGCTGCAGTCCTAAGTGAGCCTTCTATTTAACTGTCTATTTAACTGATGCTTGCTCTCCTCGGTGAACCACCTCCCATTTAACTGGTGGCTGCTTTCCTCAGTGAGCAACCCAGTTTAACTGATGGCTCTGTGATGGTGCTCTCCTACATCTGGTGCCCGGCGGACACTGGGATCACCCCTGCAGGATAGAAGGGGGGAACGGTGGGCATTTTACTCAGGCTTGTTGGAGATTTATGTCTCACTTTCCATACCTTACATATCACTTTTTAAAAAAACATATGTTTTTATTGATTTTG